ACTCCAGCTCTGGATCAGATGCAGGGAAAAAAAGAAGCGTAGCTTTTAACAAAATTGACTGAGCTATTATTTGTTCAACATACCCAATCCAAATTTTAAAAACAAAATTTTACACTACTGAGCAAAAATGAATCACGGATGAACAGTTTGAACCAGAACTGATCTTTGCTCTAATCTTCTTGAATCGACTATCAAAGCCCCGCCATTGGCCGGAGATATGTCTGCATTAGAGAGCCAGTGGAAAATATCAAACTGTGCTCTTCTAAAGTAGTTCAACCCTGACACCAAAGACCAGGCTCTGCTGTAGACGTCCTACTGCTCTGATCTTTGACGTCTTAGTGTACATTTTCAACAATTTTGCAGAACCAAGTTTGGTTCAGTTTTTTTTACCATCAAATCTGATTAGCATCTCTGTTGTTGCTCTGGGATGGTGGATTCTGGGGTGGAGATGGTGTGTGTGTGTGTTTTTTTTTTTTTTTTTTTCATAAAAAGCTTGTTGGATGTTGGCTATAAAAGTTTGAATTTGGTTAAAACACTTTTTTTTATTTTTTATTTTTTTACATCTTTGCCATTTCTCTTTTATGGCTTGAAGTAAACCACACAGAAATGTTCCTGGCCCTCAAGAATGCCTCGTTTTGCCACATTATCAAATAGGCCAGTACTGATAGTTGTCTTGTCAGCAGATTCTCCCAGTCGTGCTGTGAATCTATTTCTGCAGCTCCTGCAGTTACCATGAACCTCTTGGCTTATTTTTTGATTAAAAAACAACAATTTGCTGTGTTTCTTGACCTCTACGAAGCTTTTAATTAATGTTCTCTAATAAAAGTTCTGAGGTCTTCACAGATTAGCTGGAGTCCATGTAGGAGTATATGGCTTGCTTTGCCTGGGATTTTATTTAGGGGTATTAAAGTACCTGCACCTAGAATGAGCAGAGTTTTTAGATTTTTATTTGCGAAAAACAGTTAAAAGCCATGTATCATTGCACGGTTAAGGCACTGTTTTGTTTATTACATATACTCCCAAATAAACATATGAACCCTAGTTATTGCAATACAACAAAAGCGTAGCACACTTCCGCAAAGGAGTACCTAAATAGCAAGAATTTAAAAAAAAAATAATGCAAAAATAAATTCCACAGTGCCCGCTGCGCCATCTGACCTAGCCAACCGCGACAATATGTCATCCCAGCGCCTTGTCTGTTGAAGGTTTTTTTGTTGTAGACCCCTTGGTGTGAAACAAATTATGGAGGGGGGAAAAAAACAGAAGAAAGTGTAGATTTGACCTTTAGGGGACCTAGTGTCAGTTTAATTTAGGCTTCTTCTGTATAGCACTTAATACGATGCAAACTGATAAACAATCGGGGCTTTACCATCAGAAGATTACTTTATTGCACGTTATATGTTTTTCAAACTAGATTTTTACTTGTAATTCTAAGTACACAGCATCACCCACTCCCTCTAATATTAGGAATATTGTGATTTTAGTTCCTTTTAATATTTGCCAAGACAAGCATTCCCACTCCTGTGTGTGTGTGCATCTGTTTATGTGGATAAATGGTGATTGGCGTGCGGCTGAAAGTGGGTGGTGTGGAGTGATTAATCAGAGTAATGAGTGTAGATGAGCACTGTGCAGATGGAGCCCACACTCAGGACTGTGTCACCCAGCAGGGGGTCTCTTTGCTCCCCTTCTGAGGATCTCTATAGTTTTAACTTGGCTGTAGCTGCATTTCATTGGCATGTGCTGCTTCCTTCCCTGCCTAATTCGCGAGCTCATTTCAGCGTTATTCACATTCATAATCAGCTAATTCTTCTCTGAGAACCTATGTATACAATTAGTGATATTTCTATGTAAATATAAATTACTCCTGTTAGCTTTCCTGCTTTCTCCTGCCAAAAATTATATTGCAGTGGTGTATGTGCTTCAACCTTCAGGTGAAGCACATGAATGCATTCAAAAATATCACATAATTCATTCTGTGCCTTTGAATTTCACTATGAAGTTATGAATGCAATTTATTTTTGACTTGATTTAAAGTAATTTACAGTGTTCCTACAGACTCAAACACATAGACGGATGGATGGTATCGTCCAGCCATCACATTGTGTCTCAGGACCAGTATCAGTTTTGTATATCAACTCCATAATAAAGACAAAATATCTTTTGAAAAAAAACGCATGAAGCTGACTAGAACATGTCGTTATCCACACTGATACAAGCCCTAAAATGTCTCTTGATGTGGAAGAACCGATTACTTCAAATTAGGGTTTAAAAAAAATAGAGGATTCAAAGGATCACACTGGACAAAGATCATCAGTAAAAGAATCAAGTCCATCTATTTCTCCTTTGGTATTGAAAGACATAAACTGAAGGAGTTGGGTTCAATTAAAATAAGTCCATAATTTTGATGGTTAGGTTATTACAAATTTAACGATTGAAAAAAATCAGGTTTACCTCTAATGAAACATCTTGTGTCTTCATAAACATGCCACCAATTTATTTAGAATGTATTGTGTGAAAAATAGAAACTATCAAACATAAAGATTTGGCACAAGTGCAGCTGAACAACAGAATAATAAAGACGATGAAGGCGGACACTGATGTTTGAAAATACAATACTAACTCTTATGAGAGAACAATGAAGGATTTTTAGGAGTTAACAGAGCCCATATGGCTGTGGATTAGAAAATAAACTAAACAAAATTATTGAGATGATATAGTTGCCATACATACAAAAAGGCAGATATTTTCCTCATGCCTGGTCCTTCTGAACTGATTAGCAAACTCGTGCAGGCCTCCCACATCCCTCTGGACTTTGTGACATTAAGTTTTTTCCACATTCTTTTGCTGACTCAATCACTTGCTCTCATAAGTCCCATCGAGCCTTCCGCTTTGTTAGAGGCTTCGCTGCCCTGATTCACATTTATTAAAGAGGGAAATGGGGGATGTGAAGGCAACAATGGAAAGTCTCCCAAAGTGCATGACTAGTGGTTTGAATGTGGAAACAGTTTTACGTGTGACAATAGTTAGACACCAGAAAAATCAGTGTTGGGTAAATGAGGGGTCATGAATCGTTTCGACCCATAGCAAAACTGCATCGATACTGTGTCGAAACTGTGTCACTGAATACTGACACCTGCTGGACATTGAAGATCCCTACAGGCAACGTAATTGACAGACTGATTTGATTACTTAGTCTATACAATAAGATTTGTTATTTTATTGTATATTGTATAATGTCATATCTTTAGTTAAATTCAAAATATATTTGATATTAGATACAATCAATAAATAATGTGAATATGTACCAAGTGATGAAAATTTTAGTGTTTGAAATGAGGATGCTGGTGGACTGGGATGATTCAAACAAATATTGTTTAATAGCTGCTATTCTCCTACTTCAATCTGTATCTTATCTTGTGTGTTTCTTTGTAAATTTAAACTATTATTTTTCTTAAAACATTAAATATTTAATTTTTCTCAACTGTATTTCTTTAAATTATAATTTCAGCTGAACACGAAGGTTTGCTATTTAAAATGGTTTACATTCACTTAAAATTAAAAATAACACTCACTATGATATAATTTGGAAACATAACAGGTTTGCATGTATGATAGAAAGACTCCAGAGTGAGTGGTGTTGAATGCTATCAGTAGTCTGATCAGGTCAGTTTAATGGCAGCTGTTTGACGGTGTGAACGTGATGGAGTGGGCTATTTATCTGGTGCTATGTCCAACAAGAGGCCGGCTGGGGATTCACTGGTGACAGCTCTCCTGCTAGGAGATGCAGACCACAGAAAAAAAGGTTAAATATGGAAAAAGTTCAACACCTTAACTTCCTTTCTCTCTCAAAAAGAGAGGATGTGCCATGTTATCATCGCATGAGACAGTATATAAATGCCATTTTTGGGATGTTGGCAAAGTTACAGTGAAATAAAATGTAAAATGTATAGAGGGAACCTTGTCAGAACTGCATAAAGTTTACTAAATGATTGTAATTGTTGTGGTTGAAATGACATGGCTAAAATGTATTTGTCATGAAACTTTGGGGTCTTCTGGATTAAATAAATATGGGAAACTTTCCATTTACTATGCATGACCTAAATGAATGAACTGATGGGTGGGTGAATGAAGTAAGTAGTTTGAAAATACAGGTATTTTTCCATAGTCTATTTTCTTTACTGCATTCTTAACCACAGGTAGAAAATAATAGGTGGGAATAGAAAGATGAAGAGTTGTAAAAGTACATGAGGGAACAGTCATAGAAAACATTTAGGATTTAAACAATTCTCACTAACACTTCAAGTTGAAATCTGAAACTTGATCTGAACTCATATTCGTAAAAAAACAATGATAATAAAAACTGTAATACACAAAACACAATGCATCACTGCCAGGATTTTAATAAAATCAAATCTCCTATTTGCAACTCGCCCCTGAAGTGTACACCCCCAACTGATGAAATACAGCACAAACAAATACAGCATGACTGTTTCAGTCACAAGGACAGAAACACTGAGGCTTATTGCTACCCAGTGATGCATCTTCACTGCAGACGACCCCACCCCATTTTCAATTAAGGTCCTCTGAGGCCAGAAAATATTCTTAAATAAAATGAGAACAAAAAACAAGTAGCCTTTAGGAAGCTCATCAATCACAGTTTAAAGACAAAAGCAAAAAAGGAGGGTGTAGCTGAGGAGACTTTGCCAAGTCTCGTCCTTCATCATCCATTATGAGAGGATGAATGGAGGAGGGAGGGGGTCTCTGCAGTCCACCAGAGAATGAAAAGACTGACTGAAGCCAGAAAACAACCCAAAGCAGGTTAAAAATAGGGTCGCAAGCAGCTCACCAGACACTGAAATTCAGAAATTATCTTCTCATATAAGCACATTTTTCATTTGCACACACAGACATTTAAAAAAAAAAAGAATATGTCTGTGAGAGACAGAGAGTGAGAGATTGTGTGAAAAAAGCTAACACACCACAGTGAGCATCCGTCTTACCTGGATGAGTGATTCACTCAGTCTTTCCTCGTCTACCTCCAGCACAATGTCCCGGATCTCTTCATAAGGCAGGCGGAACGAGCCCAAGAAAATTGCTGTTTTGATGTAGAGAGAAGAGAGTCATTTCCTCACTTTTTTTATTAGACTGCAGAGTTCACACTGACATTTTGGCACTCATCACTCCTCAGACAAAACGATCACAGACCATCCTTCCCATTTGGAAAAGCTGTGCTAGCCTGACAAGAACCGCAAAGGAAAACATCAATATTCACCTGTGAGGAGTCAATTTTTGTTTTTTTTTGTTTTTTTTACATGGGCAATCTAAAACAGAAACCCAATAAAAAATAAGAGCGACAGTTGCAGCTGAGCTGGCCGCTCCTGAAAGCAACATGTTTTTGTTTGGGTGGATGCGAAAGGGGCGCGATGTATTTGCCTCAAGGGGAAGCCTGGTGGGTGTTTCACACTCCAGGTGGGGAAGGTACACTGGAAATTGGAGCTGATGGTGTATCCAGGTGGAAGTCACAGGTGGAGCTTTAGTAATGAGTTGGAAGAGAGTCACTCAACAGCTGCCATACAACTGTAGCAGTGGGACCTGATGTCTGTTTCTGACAAGAAACTAGAAAATAAACATTTTTCCTTCTGTTTTATTCCTCATAGTCATTTTTTTAACTTGCTACTTTCTGTATTTATGAGCTTTTTTTAAAACAATAAAAAACATGCATGATGTTAACGTTGTGACTCCGTGAAGCCATGTTTTGGCTGGTTAGATGCCATGACCGTATTTGTGGGCTGTCACGTTGCACTTGTTGGATTATTTCCTGGATTCTCACGCCAATTGTTGCCAAGATGGGAAAAGTTTGTGGTACAATCGTGTTTCCAACACATTTTTGATGCCAAGAAAAACTTACAGTATTTCTAAACCTTTTTAACCATTTTTAAAAGTATAAAAGATAGAGGATCACTATGAATTTATGGAAGAAATTGCAAGGGTTAGACTTTAAAGATGGAAACTGCAAACTTGAAAAACCAGAGAGGATAAGAAATGACAACTTAACCGAACAGTCTATTCATCCATCTGACCGTCTTTTCTGGTTTTCTTGCTGTCGGTTTATTGTGCAACTCTTGACCTTGACTCTTGAAAGTTTGAAATATGAAAAATGTGGAGAAAACCCTGATTGTGAGATGATGCACAATAAAAGATAGCATGTTTATATCTGGCTCTTTGCGTTCATGCTACTGTGAGCATTTGCAAATGTTGTCACTGCACTTGTGTACGTTTTTGACAGGGCTGGTAGGTGTCAGTGCCAGGTCTGATTACCAAGCCGACAGAGGGGCTTCGAGTTTTGGCAGGAAGGAAAAATAAGCGTTAAAGTTCCCACCTTCACAAAGGAAATGGGCGGGAATCTTGTTGTCGTACACAACCACGCCGCTCTCCCGAGTCGCCTTGACAAACACTACCGCAACATAAATCATTTTCATTGCCTACCGCTGAACCTGGCAAGCTCTCTTCTCAATTCTGATGTGAAGGTTCAGTGACTGGGATGGGTGGTGGGATAGTGTGAGTGATTGTCATGTCAGTGCCACTTTATGTATCATGGTAAAATGATTATGCATACTGCTATCGGGTAAATTGTGTCCATCTGTCTCCAAAAACCTTCCCTCAGCGCTGTCAGCATGCTACAGTGTGTGGCTTACTGGTGACAAGGCCCCAAATAGGAAAAAATACACACACTGTTAAACGTGGAGCAGTTTACTAAATCATGCCTATATAACAATGTTTTTGCCATCTTTTAAACTAAAGAGATCTATAGGTCAAACTGTTTGTTCACATTTAAATATTTCAGGTCACAACATACATTTTAATATCAACTAATACAAAACAAACTGATTTTCATTTAGTATTTGCTACAACTGACAGGTAATCTTGTGCATCCGACTCTCCTTAAAGATATTTCTTTTTATTTGTTGGTGTGGACATTAATGTTGCATTCCTGTAAATCACAAGTTATGTCAATTTAGTTTTTTCTTTAGCAGAAAGAAAATACCACCAGGAAAATATGCAATTATTACATTTTGAAAAGATGCAGCTTGGTAATTTTTAGAGCATAATAATTGTTGATAATTTTGCCTACATTTTGTGAGGATTGAAACAAATCATCCGTTTCTACCTTCATCCTATTCTTTGGAGTATTTTTGAGAATCGGATTTAATCTCAAACCCTAAATAAGCCGCATCAACACTTACATTTTGCTTTTCATTTGAGTTACTCATCTTCTACATAAATGAGCGTAACTACATAAATGCTGGTTATAGTTTTCATGAGAGGAAAGGGAATACATTTCTTTATGTTGTTGTCCTCCCCATTTGCAGATGTTTTTTGTAGGGCATATCTAATGGTCAAAAGACAATGCTGCTTGGAAATCTGAAAGACCAAGGCACTGTGCTACTTTACACGTTATTGGCTAGCATCTGCAAGTTAGCTAATCCATGAGGGCCATTTCTTTCCTTGGCAATGATTGGCTGTACCCTTATTAGTTGAAACAAGAAAAACTTTGAATGTTAGCTTGTGATGTAGTCCTCAGACAAACTGTCAACTGTGTGTATTAATGCATACTAGGAGTATTTGGTGATTAAACTCTTAGCAGTTATAAGCATTTTAATAAAGGGTTTGAAGAATTTACAGAATTTGGCTATTCTTCAAAATAAATAATGACATGCAAAGTGAATTTTGGTTTATGAGGCTCATTAAAAAGTGTATGTAAAAAAGTGTATCATTTTACATTATAAGATTTGACACATGGAGTTTTTGTGCCTACTTAATTTGTTTTTTTTAAATACATTTTTCTACCTTGCTTAATAAATTACACGGTGGGCTGTGTGGTCAGATTAAAATTGTTTTATAACATTGTAAAGACCAGATCTTTTACACTTCAAAAAGCAGAATTGGGAGGGTTTTTTTATTATCTTTTTTAAATATATCTTTATATTAGCATCCAGCATTAACTGGAAGCTTGCAGAAGTCTGCTTGGGCTTCAAACACCCACATGGAGCTCAAGCAGTCATATCTGTTCAGAATTGCTTTGCATAATCTGACACACAAGGCTTGGAAAAAAGCTATATGCACTTAGTTTGACTGCTATATTATTGCCAAAAACATCTTCAGGTTCCCACAAAGGGCTCAATAATTCACTATTCTAACATAGAGGGCGTTATTATAATAGTTTTTTTTTTTTATTATTATCCCACCAGCAATTCAGTTTTTCTGCTCGTGGGAATATAAACAGCTGCATTCAGAAAAAAAAAAAAAAAAAAAGCACTGAACTTTCTGAGATGAAAGATGATTGTAAAGAACACTGCATGAACCAAACAGAAATATAAGACTACTTACAGAGGTTCTGCGCAGTCTTGGCATCCAAGATACGAAGTTCCTTTGCCTTCTTCTTGAACTGTGGTACTCGGTCATCAGTCTCATCACTCACATCTTTTTTCACTGCAGTAGGAAAAAAATAAAAATAACTGTTTAAAACAACTGGCCAGCTCCATTATATACAGTGAATTGTAGCAAAGGTAATGTCTTGATGCAGTCTACTAATAGGCAACTTTTATACTAACTGACAATTATTAGTTGAACTGGACTGAATAGAATAAAAATATAGATGCTGCATTTAAGATCAGACAGACAAGCTAAGACAAATTTCTTTTGATAATTATCCTGTAGGATTAATGAAAACATGAGGTGCACTTTCTCAGAAAGTGATTTATATGCAAGATCAATTAAAAAGACAACATTTGTATTACAGAAATGTTTTTGAATTGACAGGTGTCCAGCAGACCGACACAGCTGAAGATGCTTTTCACAGGGAGATGTATCTCAGCATCCTGACTGAACGTTTGGCCGACAGAAAAAGTGAGATAGAAAAGAAGTGCTGGGAAAACCTACTCGCTGAGAGAAATGTAAAGAAAATTTCTCTCAAGGGTTTGGAAGAGATTTACAAAATGTGGAATGTGGCTACAGTCAGATGCATTTGGGAGATGAGGTACAAATATTTTGTAAAATAAGTTTTCCTAATCATCGCAACAGGATCACTTCCGGAGTGTAGAGTGTGTTTGTAAGCATTACATTTAGTCCTTCAACTTCCAAAGTTTAATGAAAATAACCGTTTACCCCCACAAATCCAAGAAAACCGACATAGTTCACCAAGAATACAAAACTGGTCCAAAAATAAACAGACTTACTGCACAGCCTGTCAGCACAAACTCTTCTGTATTTACCCTGAAATAAGTTCATCTAAAAGCCTTCTTGTCCATGTAAACAGCAGGACAACATTTTAAAGCAGAATTACAGAACTGAGGAAAGTTTAATTTCCCACAATAAAGAAGGAGCGATATGAGAAAGAAGACTCCTTAGATCCTTCGTTCTCCCCTGACGGTTTCTGTGAGGAAGCACACTTTGTTGCTAATCATCACAACTGCTCTGTTTAAGCCCAAGGTGGGAATCTCAGAGGAAATCTAGAACAAACAATCTGCTCCCTTAGTGCTGGCTTGCATATTTGAAGAAAGAATCAAAGAGGCAACATCTCCTGGGCACCTAGAAGAAGGAACGCTTAAGGCAGCTACCTAACTCTGCTGAGCACTGCCAACATATCACATCAGGGATGTAGTTGTTTACAGTGTTAAGCAATGCTAAATTGCAAGTAGGTTTAAAATGATGAAACAGATAGAATTGCAGATTATTATTATTTTTTTTGTCAGAATGCTAAGATGCTCCGTCAGGAGCCCTCAAAACGTCAGGACCCCAACTTTAATCCAGATCTGACTGAAATGCAAGCAGCATGCGTTCCCTCTCTGACAAAAGCTACATGGGGAGAGGAGAAACATGAGAATCGAAATGTGTTTCAAGTCGATGTGGAAATCCAGGTTAATTATTAAATGTAGGAACAGTGCAACCCACGTTTTGCATAATTCATCATGAGATGCGTGTCAAACCGTTTCTGCTGTTGTTGTCAAAGTTTACCTCAAAGGATCTATCCTTTGACCAAAATTAATGTAAAGTATAAAATTTAAATATAAAAAGTTAAGTTAAACAAAAGTCCGGTAGTAAAACATTCTGATTTAGGTAGATTGAAGCAACAACACTGTGACTGAGAAAGCACATTAATCCATTGTAGAGACACTCCCTGCCAGTGGTCTCAGCATTCCCTCCTACACAGCCAAACTGCTCAGGAACAGCTTAAGGGAAATGGCAAAGGGCCAAGTGATTATCTGGCCTCTAGACATATCAGATTTCAATCCAAATCAACACCCACAGACTGCGTCAAAACAAGTTCTACCAACGAAAGCTGCATTCTGCGACCTGCAGGACCCAAAGGAGCTGCTGCCCAGGCCTGCTGCCAGATACCAACAGAGGTCCACTAAATCAACGGGGTTCCCCTTTCCTGTTATGTCATTTTAACGGCGCATTTCAACGCAGAAAACAATCTGCTTGTGTAAAGGCACCTCAGTCTAAGAGGAGACCATTGAAAAATTCAGTTATTTCACCATTTCAACTCCTTAAACCAAAGTACAACAAAAAAAAAACAAAGATTCCTCAAAACTATATATTATTTTAACAATGACAATTTACATAGTCACAAAATGTAATAGATAAAATCAGTTCAATGTTGTATTCAACAGAATGTTGTATTCATGCCTACTCATAGAAAGTTGAGTGGAAGGAAAAATAGTGCACAAGAAACAGGATTTGTATTAAGAGGATCTGTAGATACGAACATGTGAAAGTGCTCCTATCCAGCGGTCTTATTTACATTTAAGCAGACGGGTAATATCAAGCTGCTACATTTGAGGGTTTTTTTTCATTGCACCAACAGAAAACCAAAGACTGAGGTCACTTTACAGGTAGAATAACCTATAAAGTTTCCTCAGTTGCTTAGTTTGAGGTCAGCTCAGCTGACCTCAAACTCAGCTGACCTCAAACCATGTGATTTTGTAAAGGGTAAATACTGTTGTGCACTTTATTTCTGTGCAAAGGATCAAAGCAGGTATGTAGCCTAACCAGTTGTGCAAGTTCTTTGTTTTTACGATGTGAAAATCGAAACACTAAAGATACAGATGTTTTTGGTTTGGTTAACAGCTTGGACAGCAATGCACTAAGCTTTTCATTCATGATTGGCAGCTTTCATGTGTGGTTAAACAAATATGTATTGTTCAATGTTTTTCAATCAAATTAGTTTGTGACACTTATAATACCTGACAGTGTTAGGCATTTAAAAAATAAAATATCAGCAGATTAGGCTTTTTAAAGATTGAAACTGCCATTGGTGCACTTCCCTCAGAAGCAAGTAAAATATTACAACTTTAAATTTCTCAAATTTACTAAAAGCACAAAAAATCACCTTGATTTGGAAAAAAATAAAACTTCTTTTGTGATTACCTTAATAATAAATCTAAACTCGAGCTAAAACGGGAAAATTCAGTTCCTTTTAATAAATTATTATCTACATTCTCTATTATCAATTTACTGTACAGTGACTTTAATCTCTCATCATGATACTTTACATTCTCACCAGGGTGCTCTCAGTTTTCTGGTGTTCGCCCTTGCCTGTAGGCCCCCATGCTGCACATAGTTAAGGAAAGTGCCTTTTAAACCCATAATGAACTGTTATTTATGATGCTAACCTACACATCTCAGAGCTCTCCTGCTGGGAGTTGAACAATTGGCATCAGAAGGCTGGCCGCAATGAAAGTTTTTTGCCGGTTGACTCAATTATGCCACGAGTCACATGTGTTTCCTCTGAGTGCTGCATGTGGACTGATGGGCCCTGGAGGGCTTGCACACATTTCAAGCTGCCACACTAGTCAGAGTCCCAGGTGTGTGGAGAGGATGAATATAGGTGGCATATACCCAGATGGCTGGCCACAACAAAAAAGCTTTTAAAGTTTTAGAAATGAAAACAAAACACAGAAGTTTGCAGACAGTTACTACAAATCCTCTACTCAGGAGAAAGTTTTTCTTTTTACGAGAAATAAAACTTTGGAAATGCTTTCTTTAAGGCTTCTTCAGTCCTAAAAGGCTTAACCCATATGACATTGTGGGTTCGTAACAGCTGATTGAAGTCCTTGCCAGTATTAAGACGTGTTCTTCTAGTTGTCCAAAGGCTGAAATGTAATACTGTGAAAACAATGCTGTCCCTCAGATTTATTAAGAGAATCTCTCCATCAGTCTCACAGTGGAGAGACACTTGAGTCTGGGAAAATCTGGAAACCTTCTGCTCAACAAAGCCTTTTAATATGGATTTATTATTTATCAGATACAAACAAAATGATTGGAAATGCTAATTGAATAGAAAAGGAAAGCTGATGCATCCAGTTCACAACGCAAACAATACTGGGCTTACATGAAACACTGAAGCAATATTTGAAAAGCGAACACACATTTTTTGTTTTCATAAATGGATACAAGTTGTTCTATTGGCATGGGTATTTACTGTATTGTTTATTTCTTGAACTTTATTTTGTCTTACACTTGTGTAAAGTGTTTAACCAGATCGTCTATTTCCAAAAACATAAAGTTGAAACATTTTTTGGAAAGAGAAATGCATTAATAAAACAGCAACTCGTAGTTTTAGAGCCAGGATCATGCGTTTTAAGAAACAGAACAAAAACAGTTCTCCATAGAAATAACTAATTACTTAAAAATACATGAGGAAAAGCCTCTGGTGAGCATAAAGGTTACACATTTTATTATCTGGGGGGTGAGGGGCCTTAAAGATTGGTCTGTGCCAAGGGGAGCCACCAAATTGTTAAATTGTAATGAAAACACACATGGATGCTTGACGGAAAAAAAAAACAATTTTGGCTTATTAAAGACGATTTGGTATTCATCTCTGTGGGCCTTGGATTGAGGTACACCCATGGGAAACTCTATGATAACAAGAGTTCTCCAACACTTGGACATCCAGTCTTTTTGCTGGCCCAGATTCCTTATCCTGGTCGCCTTCCATGAGATATCTCCCTCAAGACGTCCATAAAACCCAGGGCATTAGAAAGCTAAACACTACCACATGTTCACTTCCGGACACAGACTCCTCAGCTGAGCCCCGCCACCAGGCACCACAAAATGAACAGGCCTTGAAAAGAAATAACAGAAAACTGCAGATGACAGGTCTTCAACTAACATATTTAAAGGCAAAGGAACACAGAGTGGAACAGACAATGTGGAGTCTGGTCTTCTTTGGAGCAATTTATTCCTTCAAATGTGCAATCTGCCTGCAAACATGGGCTCCGTCCTCCATGTCAGGGACTCATGCTGAGGATTTAGCTACTGGAAATCTGCCAGGCTGTCTGAAGGAGATGGATGCTGAAGAAAAGTCACTGCCCTCTGCCAAGAAAATACCAGTTCCTCAGAGCTTGACTTCATTAATATACATGTTCTTATGTATATATGCTGAAACACGAACAGCTAAAAAGACAATGCTGCCTAAATGAAGAATG